TTGGACATTGAGCCATTGACCACACCTCTGTGAGTGCAGCTGTCTAACCAATTCCTTATCCAGCAAGTGGTCCTTCTGTCAAATCCATGTCCCTCCAACTTAGAGACAAGGATGTCATGTGGGACAGTGTCAAAGGCTTTGCACAAGTTCAGGTAGATGATGTCAGTTGCCCTTCCTCTATCCACCAGTGCCGTGGCCCTGTCATAGAAGGCCACCAAATTCGTCAGGCACAATTTTCCCTTGCTAAAGCTGTGTTGGTTGTCATCAATCATCTGCTTGTTTTCCATATGCCTTAGCATAGATTCCAGGAGGATTTCCTCCACGATCTTGCCAGGCACAGAGGTGAGACTGACCAGCCTGTAGTTCCCCGGGTCTTCCTTATTTCCTTTTTTACAAATGGGGGTTATGTTTCCCCTTTTCCAGGGAAACTCCTGCGGGAGCTTCACCAGAGTGCCACGACTTCTCAAATATGATGGATAGTGGTTTGGCAACCTCATCTGCCAGTTCCTTTAGGACTTGCAGATGTATCTCATCAGGTCCCATGGACTTGTGCACCTTCAGGTTCCTTAGATGGTCACGAACCTGATCTTCTCCTACAGCAGGCGGTTCTTCCTTCTCCCAGTCACTGCCTTTCCCTTCTGCAACTTGGGCAGAATATATAAAATAAATAGTAGCTGGGAAGGTAAAAGTTAAAAAGAAGCTGAAAATATAAATTAAAGTCCTCATCTATATTAAAGCTTTTTTTTTTTTTTAATGTATCCATTTATAGAGGACTGTGTAGCAGAATTAAAAGAAGTATCTAACCTTTATGGTTTCAAAGAAAGTGCTTTTCTGCAACACTGCTGTAGTTTGAGCTGATATCCTAAAACAATAACTTAACAGATGTGAGCCTGTTTCATTTAGTGGAAAGCCAATTCTGAAGTCTGTTGACAGCACAGTTCACATCGGAAACAATATCAAGATGATAGTTTTAGCAAATACATGCCTTACAGCAGGGTATTTTGTATTTGTGGATTACCGTGCTTATTTAAAAGGCTGTCCTCATAAATAGCTAATTCACTGTGAGGTGCAATAATCTGGCAGTGTACATTAAGCTGGAGAATACACATAATGACATTACAGAAATAGAAGCAGAACATTCCAGAGTCTGGTAGGAAATGGCAAAAACATAGAGTGTGATTTAATAATATGGCCCAGAGTCTACTCTGTCAGGCATCAGTGAATAGTATTCATGGAAATCAGTGGTTCTGCAAAAGAAAAAAAATACCTGAGCAAAAATTTCCAGTTAAGTGGTTTAGTCTTAGGTTTGTAAAATGTTTTATTTTTAATATTTGAAACAGTGAGAGGACAAAGACTGGAGGTACAATATGCAAACGCAAGTGATAGATCCAGCCTTCACTGAAGTACTGAAAGTCCTTCAATAACTGCAATGACTTTGCATCAAATCTATTTCAATATTATTTAACAGTAATATTAAGCTAATGTTTAATATTAATGCCTTTTTTTCCAGAAAGCTATAAAGAGCACAGCCCTAGAATAGTCTTCCAATAGGCTTCCAATGATCTTCCCTATTAAACATTTCATGCTATTCAGCTTTTTCTTTTCTCTTTTCTTTTACAGGCAGGCCATATCCAGCAGATAGCTGATATGAGGACTTTGCTGAATTCAGAAAGCTGAGTGTAACACCTACAGACTTCAGTGAAAGGAAATATTATCCCTCCAAGCAACTCATCCACAGACGACTTTTGGTAGCTTTAAATTAACCTGTTGCTCACCTGCAAAGACACAGCTATTGTTTCTTTCAGCACAGATGGAGGAAGGCAACAAACTTTGTAACCCTGGCTAATAAGACTGTGGCTTTCCTATCAAAAGTAGGAGGTAGTCCAATTATAAGAGGATTATTTTATACTTAGCCTCCAGGACTTTATCTCTGGCCTGAACTTTGGACATAAATAGAAGCCAATTTTAATGACCTGAGATTTTACTACCTGTGCTTTATTATTGTTATCAGTTCTTTGATGCTTTGGTACTTTATTTCTTTAAATTAGAAATGGGTTCATGGACTAGAATGTGGCCCACAGGCTGGGCTGTTCTCATGAAATCATGGCTTATCTTTTCCCTGGGGCTGTACATGCAGGTCTCCAAAACTCTGGCCTGCCCAAAAGTGTGCCGCTGTGACCGAAACTTTGTCTACTGTAATGAGCGAAGCTTGACCTCAGTGCCTCTTGGGATACCGGAGGGTGTAACCGTCCTCTACCTCCATAATAACCAAATTAATAATGCTGGATTTCCTGCAGAGTTGCACAATGTCCAGTCTGTGCACACAGTCTACCTGTATGGCAACCAATTGGATGAATTCCCCATGAACCTGCCCAAGAATGTCAGGGTTCTCCACCTGCAGGAAAACAACATTCAGACCATTTCTCGGGCTGCCCTTGCTCAGCTTTTGAAGCTGGAAGAGCTGCACCTGGATGACAACTCTATCTCCACTGTTGGTGTTGAGGATGGGGCATTCCGGGAAGCCATCAGCCTCAAGCTTCTGTTCTTGTCCAAGAATCACTTAAGCAGCGTACCAGTAGGCCTTCCGGTGGACTTACAAGAACTTCGAGTAGATGAAAACCGAATTGCTGTCATTTCAGACCTGGCCTTCCAGAATCTTACCAGTTTGGAGCGTCTGATTGTGGATGGCAATCTCCTTACTAATAAAGGCATAACTGAAGGCACCTTCAGCCACCTCTCCAAGCTCAAGGAATTCTCAATAGTGAGAAATTCACTGACCTACCCTCCTCCCGATCTTCCAGGTACACATCTGCTAAGGCTCTACTTGCAGGACAACCAGATAACCCATATACCACTTACAGCCTTTTCAAACCTCCACAAGCTGGAACGTCTTGATATTTCCAACAATCAGCTTCGGATGTTGGTAAAGGGGGTATTTGATAATCTCCACAACCTGAGGCAACTCACTGTAAGGAATAATCCCTGGTTGTGTGACTGCAGTATTAAGTGGGTCACTGAATGGCTCAAATTTATTCCTGCTTCCATCAATGTACGGGGTTTTATGTGCCAGGGACCAGAGCAGGTCCGAGGTATGGCAGTCAGGGAGCTCAATATGAATATGTTGTCATGCCCCACCACCACCCCTGGTCTGCCTCTTGTCATCACCTCAGTCCCAGCTACAGCCATGCCAACTACATTAGTTCCCACTTTATCAGTTCCTTCCCCAAGTAGCAAATATAATCCTCTCACTCCCAGCATAGCCACACTCCCCACTGTGCCTGACAGGGAGGACAGAGAAAGGGTGACACCTCCTATATCTGAACGGATTCAGCTCTCCATCCATTTTGTGAATGACACTTGCATCCAAGTTAACTGGATGTCTCTTTTTACAGTGATGGCGTATAAACTCACATGGGTTAAGATGGGCCATAGTCTGGTAGGAGGAATTGTTCAGGAGCGAATAGTTAGTGGGGAGAAGCAACACTTAAGCTTGGTAAATCTGGAGCCCAAATCCACCTATCGGATTTGTTTGGTTCCGCTGGATACTTATAACAATTACCGAACTGGAGAAGACACTGTCTGTTCAGAAGCCACGACCAAGGCTTCCTTTTTGAGCAATGGCAGCAACATCCCCTCCAGCCGTGAGCAGACGACTTCTCAGAACCTGGGCTCCCCATTTCTGCTGGCAGGGTTGATTGGGGGTGCAGTGATATTTGTCCTTGTGGTTCTGCTCAGCATTTTTTGCTGGCACATGCACAAAAAAGGGCGTTACACCTCCCAGAAGTGGAAATATAACCGGGGCCGTCGGAAAGATGACTACTGCGAGGCAGGGACCAAGAAGGACAACTCCATCCTGGAGATGACGGAAACCAGCTTCCAGATTGTCTCCTTAAATAATGATCAGCTCCTTAAAGGAGATTTCAGACTGCAGCCCATTTATACCCCAAACGGGGGCATTAACTACACAGACTGCCACATCCCCAACAACATGCGATATTGCAACAGCAATGTCTCAGACCTGGAGCACTGTCATACATGATAGTAAGGGGAGATGGGGATGTCTAGGACAAAGAGAAAAAACTCTGGAAGAAGTAACCCCCCCCAACAACAATGAAAAAATTACATTTGATAAATGTTACCCAGATGCATTTATGCATTTGAATAATCTGTAATTTATACTGTGTACTATATAATGGGATTTAAAAAAAAGTGCTATCTTTTCTATTTCAAGTTAATTGCAAATGGTTTTGTAACTCTTTGCTTTTTAAATCTTTAAAAAAATATTGCTAAGTACTGTACAGGGTTGTACAATAAGAACCCAATGTCATGGCAAAGGAAAGAATGACTCATTCTTCAAACATTAACCACTTTGCTGTCGAAGCTGTCTGAGGGATGTTAAGTTTCCAGGTGTCCTGTAGTACAGGAAAATAAGTGCATATTAAAAGAGAGTCACTAGGAACGGACAAAAGCAATTCAGATAAAATGGGTACTACCCTTCTGACTTGAACCCAGCAGTTGCTGTTGAGCTTCAAACAATTAAAAATACTTCAGTTCCCTTTTGTCAGTTCTACATTTCCTACCTCCAACTGAATGCGGAGTTCTGAGTGTTACCAAAAAGGCTACTTTCTTGTTTGGTTTTCTCCCAACATACTTGGAATAGGAAAGGTAGACAGAGCTCAGTGTTAAACTTGCAGTGACCTTCATTCCTATTTGCAAAAGCTACTCTGAAAATGTCCCCTAATGCTATATACTTTTATGATAGAAACTGATCCTGCTTTTCATTATGATTAAGAAGCTTTAGGCATTCTCTGGCCCTTCTGAGCAGGAGATGAAGGTTATCAGTATGTAACAGATAGCTGTTGTTAAGTTGCACCTCACTTTAATAGAGCAGCATATGTTGACACAACATGTTCAGGTAAAGCCTGAATGAGGAAGAATCTGAGTGCTTCCAGCTCTGCAGTCTTAATGTAGAATTTGGAATCGAAAAGTGTAAATTGCCGAAAACATGATGCAAAACATGATGCAGACAGAAAGGTTGCTATTGACTTTTATGATCCAAGCTCTATTTGGTTTAGGGGTCTGTGTTACGTTTAATATGGAGAAGTAGAAAAAAAAAAGACAAACAAACAGAGAAGACAAATAAGGAAGACCTTTAAAAAAATTATTTATTACTGGAAAATCCTCCAGGCCTATTATGAACTTAAATATGCTCAGCAGGGAA